CCCACACACACACACTACCAACCAAAAGATAAATACTTCATTTTAAAAGAAACCAGCAAACAAAACAAAATTTGAAGATCCGCTTTCTAGAACGCCTATTTAACGATTCTCATCATGGATCATAAGCTACAAATCCCAGCATGACACCCACTGGGAGCTATCGGTAGGCCCACCTTATCACAGGTCTGCACAAGGCTCTTCTCGTTGGCAGACACAGCTTCCCTTGTCTCCAACTAAGGTGGATTTTCTCACCTTACTCTTTTCTAGCTCTCAATCAATGAGCTTAAAACACTGTAACCTCCTTTCTCTCAGTCTAAGAGACCAGTATTTCGTTATAGATTGAGCTATGGGTTTTACACCACTTTCAAAAAAGTTAGATTATCATTGAACGCACCACCAGCCTTATGATCAAATGACCATCTCTGACATGATGACCTTGGCAGGTGGGTGGCCAGCAATAAACACTCCTTGGCAAATCTACTGGCAAGAAGGCTTGATTTGTTTGACTTTGAGTAAAGAGAAGTTTAAGTTTTAGTAAAGGTTTTATGGCGCCCGCCTGCATAAGGTCATATGAGCGCCAGAAGATTAGAGTGTTACAAGAGAGTAACAAACATAAAAAAGAAGACAGGGATATAAGGACAATAGATGTTTGAAAGGAAAGAAGAAGCAAACCACACCAGAGCATCTGCCAACCACCCATAAGCTTGATTTGTTTGACATTGAGTAAAGAGAAGCGCATCGACACAATAATGGTCATTAAGAGGAGGGTAAAAGTGAGACAGACTGATAGAAATAACAGAGGTTAAAAAATAAAGTAAGATATATTAGCAGCATCCTCCAACCACCTGCAAGAATGGACCATAAGAGACTCCAACAAGGTTGCCACAACTACAGTAGTCCACCATGATACCAACCGAGCAGTTATCGGCACGCCTTTATGTCATTCTTCTTCCCACCCCCAACTTTTTACCATCCAATCGACGAACCAATTGACAATTCAACCAACCAACAATCCAATTAATAAGTCAACTAATAAAACAACCAACAAATCAATTGAACAATGGCCCTACTGAGAAATCAATAGATAAAAAAAAAGCAATAAACTAATCCACCCACCATACCAAACCACCCTTCACCATATCAGTTCACCCGCAATATCACCATCTCCACACGAATTCACTCATCATACTAATCCACCCACCACCATATTAATTTAACCATCCCCACACAAATCAACACACCACGACACCCATCCACCAGCCAATCACACTAATCCACCAATCACCCCACCATCACATCAACAATAATCCAACCATCACATCCATCATCACACCATGTCACTCCCCACCACATCCATCATGTCACAACGTCACCCATCATCACACCACGTCATCCATCATCACACACCCATCATCACACCACGTCATCCATCATTACACGCCCATCATCACACCACGTCACCCATTACACGCCCATCATTACACCACGTCACCCATCATCACACCCATCATCACACCACATCCTCCACCATCACGCCATGTCATCCATCATCACACCACGTCACCCATCATCACACCACATCATCCACCATCACACCATGTCATCTATCATCACACCTCGTCATCCATCATCACACCACGTCACAATCCACCACACCCATCATCACACCACATCACCGACCAACCACTACACCCATGATCAAACCAATTCACCATATACATATATATATACATATATA